AGTGGGGATGAGCAAAAATGGGCCATTTTTATAAAAAAAAATGCATGCATAGCCTTATGGAGGCTTATAGAGTGCTGCTGGGGGCTGGGGGGGGGCAAAAAACGGCCCATTTTTTGCTCATTTCTGCCCTCAGCCCCCAGGAGCTCTGAAAACTTCCATAAGGGCATGCACGGCCATTTTGGTGAGGGGGGGGGCTTCGGGAGGCAAAAAATCCAGTATATAAGACGCACCCAGATTTTCAGCCTCTTTTTCGAGGAAAAAAGGTGCGTCTTATACTCTGAAAAATACAGTATATTGGTGAAATAGTACCAAATTGCACAGAATTTTGTGAGTGCAGACCAAGAAGAACTCTTATTCTAACCATTTTCCCCAAACTATGTACTTCAATTCATGCTTTTCATTCAGTATATGTGGCTACCAAAAGCACTTTTGTGTTGGACACTTAGATTGGCACTGAGTATTTCCTGAAATAATGAAGTTTGTATAGCCATTGTTTGTTGGGAAGAATGGGCTTCTTGTGTAAAATATGCCGTCTATGTTACTTTTGTTAAAAGGATAGCGTAGTCGGTGAACTGCAGTTACTGTTCTCTAATCGAACCATACTGCCTTAAATCTATTATTGTAAACTAAATGTTACAATGTAATACAAAACACTAAATCAATTTACAAGCTTTGAATTACAACTTTGGTTTTTATTCCAGTTTGTGGTTTCATTAAAGCTTTCTGTCTTACGGGTCCTGGCATCTTTTACTTTGCAGCGTCCTTTCTGAGGACCAGGATAGTTATCTCTGTAACGTCACTTTATTCAGGAAGGCAGTGGATGAGTTCAAACATAAAGCAAGAGAAAACAAGTAAGTGCAACCCTGCTTTGTTTTCTTGTCGAGTAATAGCTACACAGAAATTTACGAATGGCACTTCTTTCCCTGTGCAGATTTATTGTCCGTGACTTTCAGTATAATGAAGAAGAAATGAAGGCAGATAAAGAGGAAATGAACCGGCTGTCTACTGATAAGAAAAAACAGTTTGTAAGTTCATTGATATTTTTGCATTAAATACATAAGTAATTTTTCAGAATCAGTAGTTTCATTGCTGATGATCTTTTTAGGCTTTTTCATATAAACATGGTGCATCCACTGGTTAACAAATAAGCTCTGTTTCAGTAATTACTAAATGTTTAAAAAAAGTATTTAACAAGAAGTATCAAAGAAGCTATAGTTTAGGTGTAGTACTCACTCTCACTTTTGTTCCAGGTTATTTTATTTTCCATCAAGGAATTATATTTGACCTGCAAAAGATAGAATGAATAATGCAAGGGCACTCTGGCAGATAAGGAAGTGACTTTAGATATTAAATGCCAGGTGTGTTCTTTTCTAAAAGAACATGTAGGTATTATTTAAGAACTATTATTCATAATCTTTCGCACTTTGTAGTGAACTTTTAGAATAGTTTATTAAAGGATGAATTAGTAAATGTCTAGGAAAGAATACATCGATTACTAAGAAGCAACTTGACTTTATCAAGAATCAGGTCATCTTTCTCATTTTAAATAGAATTATCGTCAAGTAGATAACAAGAACAGCACTTTTTAGCAAAACATTTTACTGGCTTTCTAACAGGTCCTTACTGACATTTTATTAAGCCAATGAGTTGGACTGAACTGTTTTAGATTGCTAAAAAAATAAATTTTCTGATTTTGGCTGCTGAACAAGTTCTGACAAGGATAACGATGATCAAGTAGTCATAGGTAGTCCTTGATTTACATCCACAATTGAGCCCAAAATTTCTGTTGCTAAGCAAGACAGTTAAGTGAATTTTGCCCCATTTTATTATCTTTCTTGCCACAGTTGTTAAGTGAATTACTGCAGTTGTTACGTTAGTAACACAGTGGTTAAGTGAATATGGCTTCTCCATTCACTTTGCTGATCAGAAGATTGCAAAAGGGGATCCTATGATCTCAATATTATGGCCGTCATAAACACATGCCAGCATCTAACTTTTGGTCACATGACCACAAGGATGAGGACGGTCGTAAATGTGAGAAACGGTCATAAGTCATTTTTTTTCAGTGCCATCGTAACTTTGAACAGTTGAACGGAACGGTTGTAAGTTGAGGACCACCTGTATGAGGGTTCTTCATTTTCCAAGGATGAGCAACACTTTAGCATAGCAGATAATTGTACATAATGCTTAATTGTTGCACACACCCATAAACTGTTGCTCTGGGTTAACTTCACCCTCCTTGGAAATACTAGTTGATGTAGCCATGTAAATAAGTCTTTAATGCTCAAACCTTAAAAAAAAGAGTCTTAAAGTTTGTAAAATGGCATACAACATTTGCTCCCTCCAAAAGGTTTTACACTTGTTGGGATTAGGTGCTGCCTAAGTGTGATTGCTCCTTTTACTGTTCCAGGCCAAAATATGCTGCTTACCATAGTTTGTAATTCTGGCAATTGACTGATAGCCCTCTTGCTTCCCTATATCCCAATTTCCAGACATCGCTTATTGCTTCCTTGTCTGCTTGCTGTCTTCCCATTTCCTTTTCTCCCACCCATCCACAATGGTCTTAGGGTTCTTTTACAAGTGAAGGGCCTGTGCTTTCTGTGCACATCTGCACGTTCTTGAAAATGTTAAGGTGTGGCTTAATTAGCCAAACAGCTCAAACACTTGCATGGATGCTTGTGAATAAACTGAATGGAGGAATGAATGAATAAGCACACGTCAGCTCATGTTTCGATTATTAGAATCTTTTGGGAAAAGGCATGAGTTAAACTGAGCTTTGCGGAGATGGGGATGGAAAGCATTCTGCCAGGTTGCAGCTGTTTTTCCCAAATGTCGCCAGCAGCCTCAGATTTATTTTCTCACAACCATAGAATATATTACTACTGGGAAAACCAGTCGTGATGTATGATGGTGAGAGTTTGACCTTATGAAAGGCTGAGCACTGAAGAATTGATGCTTTAGAATTGTGGTGTTGGAGAACACTCTTGAAAGTCCCTTGGACTGCAAGGAGATCAAATCAGTCAATCCTAAAGGCAATAAACCCTGACTGTCCTTTGGAAGGACAGATACTGAAGCTGAAGTTCAAATATTTTGGCCACCAGATGAGAAGAAACCATTCATTGGAAAAGACCCTGATGCTGGGAAAGATGGAAGGCAAAAAGAGAAAGGGACAGCAGAGGATGAGCTGGTTAGATATTGCAATCAACACAATGAACATGAATTTGGGCAAACTAAGGGAGCCAGTGGAGGATGGTGGGGCTGGCATGCTATGATCCATGGAGTTGCAAAGAGTTGGCTATGACTTAACGACTGAACAACAATAGAAGTCAGAAGCAATATTCAAAATAACTCTGGCAATTTTAAATATAAATTTATGCATCTTGGTATAAATAATACAAGTACAGGGTAGGGAAGACCTAGGTTGATAGAAATATGAAAGAAAATGATTAGTGTCTTAATCCAAATTGAACTTGAATGCAACATTGTGGTGTGGTTTTTTTTAAGAAAAAGCTAATAGTCATAGGCTATAATAAGAGGAATAATATCCAGGCCATGAAAAATAGATTAAACTATTTTTCATAGAGAAATTACAAAATATACTGACTAAGATGTTGAGAATTCTGCAATTGAGGAGCAGGTGACTTATTTATGCAGAAGGAAAAATACTTGAAAGATTGTCACATAGGAGATGAGAACAAATTCCAAAGATTACATCTGAAACCAGTGATCAGAAATGGCAAGAAAGTAAATGGCAAAAAAGAGGCTGAAAATCTGGGTGCGTCTTATACACTGAATACAGCATTTTTTTGCTTCCTGAAACCCTGTCCCTTTCACCAAAATGGCTGTACATAGCTTTTAGAAGGCTTTCAGAGAGCTCATGGGGCCTGGGGAGGGCAGAAATGAGCAAAAAAAGGCCAGTTTTTTGCCCCCCAAGCCCACAGCAGCACTCTATAAGCTTCCTAAAGGCTATGCATGCCCTTTTTTTTGGACAAAAAAAACCGGGGCCGTTTTCGCAAAAAATGGGCCATTTTTTGCTCATTTTTGGCCCCACCCCTTTGGAGCACTCTACAAACCTCCTAGGGGCTATTCATGCCCTTTTTTGTGGGGGGGGGGAATGGGCCCGTTTTCCCAAAAAAACAGGACATTTTGGGGAGGTTTGCAGTGTGCAAAACATTTTTTTTTTTAATTCATCTTCAAAACCTTGCATCTTATACTCTCATGCGTTTTATACTCCAAAAAGTACGGTAGTTGTTTGAAAGTGTGAATAGGTGGTGGACATTAACACTTCTTCATGTGATATGAATGATACGCTAGCAGGGATACTTACATCCTGCATTGCCAAGAATCTGATTTTGTGCAGGATTATTAAGTTGTCCACTTGAGATGACGTGATGTTCAGTTTCACTAGTCCTAAAACTGATACTGCAATTTTTGATGTTGTTAAATAATATTTGAATTCTGAATAATAAAATGGCAACGTATAAATGCTTAAATTATTAAATACACTGACTGTACTTAATTAGTTCAAGTATCCTGTGTTTTGGCCTATTACTTGAAAGACCTGTATAACCATAGTTTTGGGCCCGCACATACACATTTTAAATATTCAGGAGAAAGTCTTCTAATGTTTACCGTGTCTGCTTGCTTTTCTCTGTTTAATCACAGGGGCCTCTAGTCCGGTGGCTAAAAGTGAATTTCAGTGAAGCTTTTATTGCATGGATTCATGTGAAAGCCCTAAGAGTCTTTGTTGAATCTGTTCTAAGGTATTAAATCTTTGTTGCCAGATACAGTTATCTGTTCCTTCAGGAATTACACAACAATTTTATAATCTCACTTTAGGAAATCTTGGTAGATGAACTCCCTTTTAAAAAGTACCAAACTCTGTAGATGAAATGAATTGTCTAATAAAAAAAAAACTTTGCAAGTTACATCTATATAAACAAGAATGAAACTATAATAAAAGCCCCTCACTATCTGAACTCATACAGTTCAACTTAGGTTAATGCAACTGTGAGAGGAGAATTGGTAACTTCTGCTTCAGGCATAGAATACTGCAGTTTAGTATGTCATCCTGCTATTACCCAGTTGCTAATCCCTTCGTCAATTTTATGATCTGCGTTTTCATTATGCAGCAAAAGATGTAATTTCTATTTCTATAACCATCCCAAAATAAGAGATGGTGCCATATTTGGAAGTATACATCATTTTAAAATGATTGTCCTTAACTAGTTACATCAGCAGTCTCCAACCTTTTGGGTACTAAGGACCAGGTCTGTGGAATACATGCATGCATGCATACATACATACATAATACATACATACATACATACATACATACATACATACATACATACATACATACATACATAATACAGTGTACTTATTGTCAGCGTTCCAAATATCATGCAGAATTAAATCAGAGTCCAAGGCAGAGCTATCCTTAAAGTTCCAATTTAATAAGACAGACATGTTGGCATATCTGTGAAAATCCCAATTCTAAAATCTTCTTGGGATTCCACCCAGTTGAAAGTTCATGATCTTATCCCCACACCCATAAATCCATCACATGGTCCAATCTTCTTCAGCCACGCTGGCATTTCCACCTATCTAGTTCTGGTCAGATGCAGAGGTGCGCAGACAAAAGATGACCTTGGGCTTCTAGAAAAGAATGACAACAATACATTCCACAATTCTACTCCTTTCTATTCTCCCCTCCCAACTACTACACTAATGAAACAGCACAATGAAATAATAGAGAGTGTGGCAGGCCAAAGATCCTAAAAAGGAATATAACTGCAGGCCTGACACTTATGTTATAGTGCTTCAAAAATGCACTGAAAATATGTCTTAAATTGAAAGGAGAGAAATTGGAACCCAACACTAAAAAAAATTGTGTCAGATATAATGATGTGAGTGATGAATATTCTTCTCTCCATCTCTGCTTCCCTCTCCCCCAAGTTAATTAGCCTTTGCAAAAAATGACTTTGTCATTTATTTAGGTATGGCTTGCCAGTTAATTTCCAGGCTATGCTCCTTCAACCCAACAAGAGAACAATGAAGAAATTGAGAGAGGTCCTCTATGACTTGTACAAACATCTTGATAGTAGTGCTGCAGCAATCATCGATGTAAGTAATCTATACTATAATGAGGTTACCTGCAGGTTTTGCCATAACACTGAGTAGATTTTTTTTCTGATTTCATATTGTTGGAGGGGATCATAGAATCCAATTCCCTGCCCAATGCAGAAATCCAGATTAAAAGATTAAGATAATGATTTAAGATAGTGTCTCAGCTTCAAGTATGAAAAGGCAGTTCTGAGATTCCTTTGATTTGAATTGGGGGGGGGGTAATTTTTATATATGTGAGACAAAGATGTGACCATTAATTTTAGGGGGGCTAAATTAACTCTATAATTAATGTTTTTTTTAAACCTTCAGGCAACCATGGATATTCCAGGTTTGAATCTCAGTCAGCAAGAATACTACCCTTACGTGTACTACAAGATAGACTGCAACTTGCTTGACTTCAAGTAGCTTCTTTCTGAATCTAGTGATCTTCTCATAGTGTTGATGTACAAGCAAGAAAGGTTGAAGAATTTCGCTCCTAAATCTCTCATAAACCCGTGCTTGCTTCTTTCTCCCTTTGCATAGGAGAACAATCCCCTTGGTGGTTGATCCCTTGACATTTTCTTTTTAAAGAGAAATGTAATTATTGTTTTTAATAGATCAGGTCTGTAATTGTATATTGAGAGAATCAAAAGTGTATTTATAAATAGTCCTTTATTTAAAGAGTAAGAAACTAAAGGAGGTCATTCCGCTTTCATGCCATGCCTCATCAAGACCTTGTTTATACAGCAAGATGGTGGGGAAAACATGCCATTGTTCACTGTTTTTCATAGGTGTGCTATAAACATTGTAATTGAATTGTGATGTAAAATATGTGCAGACTGATATTCAGTCGATGCTTTCTGAATGTTTTACGTTTACAAGATACTAAGCACTGCATCCACCCAAGAAAATAAAAAATGCCTGTACAATTGTCTTGCCTTTGTACTTATGTTCTTATAGGCCCGTGACGGCGAACCTGTGGCACACATGCCACAGGTTGCATGCAGAGCCCTCTGTGTGGGCATGCGAGCAGTCAGCCCAGCTCAGCTCCACCGTGCATGCGCATGTGACTCCTGCCCAACAGATGGCTTTTGGGTTTCTGCCACTCCTGTACGGGGTCAAGTGCAAGAACGCGAGGGTCACACGTGCATGCGCGGGAGCACTCACACATTGCGCTATGGGTGTGTGCACGTGCTTTTGGCATGTGACGATAAAAAGTTTAGCCATCACCGTTATAGGCCACTGTAAAATGTATAGGGAGAGTTTCATGGCATATCAGTCACAAGCAGTCACATTTACAGAAACTTATGGTCCCACTTTCCCTCCATAAACCTGGTTTAAATATTGTACTAAGGCAAGGGTGTCAAACTCACATCCTCACGGGACATATCACAACTTTTTTCCCCTTCGCTAAACCGGGCATGGCCAGCATGTGATGCTTCCGGCCCGCGGGCCACGAGTTTGACCACCCCCCTGTACTAAGGCATGGGTGGTTTCAGTATTGTTCATTAAAGAAATCATTGTTTATTCTTTATGCTGAGATACAAATCATGATGTATAAGCTGCCATGGTTGACTTCCCAGATGTGATATATGCATGCATACAAAAGCTTTAAAAATAGGAATCACGAGAAGAATTTATTGCAGGAGCACATCTTGACTGTTGATTGGCTGATCGCATAAGCTTTATATTCAAATAGTCATGGGGGTTGCTGTATAATTAGGGTACTATGTTTCCAGTGCACTAGGGGGCACCCCTGTGCCATTTTAAAATAAACATTATAAATGGTATTTCAGGGTTTTGTTACATGAAAAACACAACACTTCCATAGAATCTTCCTCGTGTTTCTATACAATTCTTTTCCTGCCTTTTGCTAAAATAGAAATTGTAGGTCTATGGGTAAGAAGAATACATTGCTCAGCTACAAGTAGCGCTTAAGAGAATGACAGTGCTTTTGAAACATGATGTAGAACAAAAGGTCTGAACTTCTAGAAAGCTCCAGAAATTGTTAAAAGGCAATATATCTGAATATACTCTGACAATTGCCATAAACATATACATATACATATCAAAAATTACTACCATTAAAGAATCTATTAAGTGCAACAAATGGCCCACAGAGAAAGCAAAATAAATTGACTGATACATGTTGTAGTAAATAAAGTTTAAAACTGCACAAAATCCTAAGAAATGAAGAATATTAAAAAAAAACAACCTGCTACTTGGACCTCTTGTATAGAAAAATCAAAGTAATGGTTTGGTGAAACAATTATATCCTCATTGCTAAGATATATGCAATTAAGCATCATATTGCATGTCTTAAGCCTCCTGTCTCAGTTTAATATTCCACATGGATCAGAGCTATATTTCTCCGTAGTAATCTTGTGTGCTTCCATAAATTCTTGCTGTTCTTAATTTTAAGACACACAAATCAATTCTGTGAGTTCTGGAACTCTTTCAATATTTATTTTGAAATGTTCGTCTGCAAATCGTAGGTTACTTATTAAATGTACATGACACCCATCTCACGATCAGGTTTCTCTGGATAGCTTGCAACATGCTAAAAGCAGCAGTATAAAACATTAGAACATTATTATAATTAATACAAATAAGCCAAGACTGGAACCAGTAAACAACAGTGTGGGGGCTAAAGTCTTTTTTTTTTAATTGACTAACAACCTCCATCAGGGTATATCCCATTAGGCCTCCAGACCAATCAGCAAAACCAGGTTTTGAGGCCCCTTCGGAAGGCCAAATAGATGGGGGCCAGGGATGTGCAGTCAGGGGAGGCAGAGCCTCACCACTGTCATGAAAAAAAAATGTAAAAGGAAAAAGGCAAGAGCTGAGGTCAGGCTGAGCTAGTTGCTGCCAGAGTCACCGTGGATTACCCTGCTTAGTGCTTAACTGTTTAAAAAAGCCTCTAAAAAAGTGCCCTCTACAGGAGATGGCAGGAGAACGATGTGCCTCATCTAATCTGACTTTATGATCCCTCAAGCAGAGTTAAGCAAGGGTTAAAAGCCGAAAAAATTCCTGATGTAGATGAGGCACGTCGTTCTCCTGCCTCCTCCTGTAGAGGGCACTTTTTTAGAGGCTTTTTTAAACAGTTAAGCACTAAGCAGGGTCATCCACGGTGACTCTGGCAGCAACTAGCTCAGCCTGACCTCAGCTCTTGCCTTTTTCCTTTTGCATTTTTTTTCATGACAGTGGTGAGGCTCTGCCTCC